AATACTCTGAATTCGACTCACAGTTCGATAAAATATGAATATAGGTATATGTAGAAATTACAAGAAGGACTATTTGATCAATATGGCCTATAAACAAAAAGTTCTTTTAATTTCTGTAATACTGGTTTGATTATCTTGATTGGATTTTACATTATACGTGCGAAACATATATATATGTACACATACATTATTATTTTAATCAACATGATTAACTATTTAGAGTGAAGATTAGACTGAAGTGATAATGGACCGGCCAGTTCGTGGTATGTAAATGACCATTTCATACTCACTGCAGGATGGACTTATATGTAATATATGAATATTGTAGATAGTAATGGACTGAAAATAAAATGGTAACAATAATGCTATAAATGCTAAATGATTATTGTGAATGTTGTTTTAAAAAGTCTACGATTATTATTAGTTTTGAACTCTTGAAACTGCTTGAAGAAATTGCTGTTTTTTTATGTTATGATTCTAATATTTTAATCATGTATTTATTTTATAATATATATAATATTTAATCAAACCTCTATTGAGGTTTGATTAAGTCTCTGAAATCATATTTTTTAGATACGAGAACGTTTAAAACAAATAAATAAAAAATGCTCCGTCGGTTTAAATTGTTCATGAAAAAATTGTAACGCCATATTTTATTTCAAGTAAAGAGTTTTTATTTTAAAGTCACTTAAGTAAAGTAATTGACTGTAACATTTTTGTAGTTTGATACTAAAAGTTTTCGGCTGAAGGATTTCTAAAAAGTATATTTTTGGCGTCTCTATCTTTAGTTTTTAGTCAGTAAGTGTATAAAGATCTGATTTTTATCTTATTACGTACACTTGCATACAACGGTGTATTACTTTTTTTAATTAAAGTTTTAACTATAATGTGATGAACTGTAACTATTATAATGCAATAGCCAAGTACTCTATTAGTTGAAAATAAAAAAAATATACTATTAAACCTTTTTCATCTGTGAACACTAACTCAAATTATAACATGTTGTTTTTTGAAATATTGTTGATTAATTAATTAGGTATTTACAATGTAGAATAAAGTAGTCTTCGGTATGGAGGCGATTTCTTTATAGAAGAAAATCATTTCACACGATGATGCCAACATCAGGATAAAGAAAAAGGAAAAAAAATCTTATAGCGAAATTATATTTTTATTTACCAAGTTACTAAATAAGATTACATATTTTCGGTTACTGTTTCACGAAGGGACAATAGATTTAAGAATTTTATAAATTATTAGGTACATAAGTAATGAAATGTTTTATTTTTCATCCGATAATCTTTTGTAGTAAGACATTTTTTTTAATTTATATTTATATTTATATATATATATATATATATATATATATATTATAAGATGTGTAGTTTAGTATAATGAAAACGGTTTTGGTAGTGAGTGTAGCATAAAGAGTTTTTATTTTAAAGTCACTTAAGTAAAGTAATTGACTGTAATATTTTTGTAGTTTGATACTAAAAGTTTTCGGCTGAAGGATTTCTAAAAAGTATATTTTTGGCGTCTCTATCTTTAGTTTTTAGTCAGTAAGTGTATAAAGATCTGATTTTTATCTTATTACGTACACTTGCATACAACGGTGTATTACTTTTTTAATTAAAGTTTTAACTATAATGTGATGAACTGTAATTATTATAATTTAATATCCAAGTACTCTATTAGTTGAAAATAAAAAAAATATACTATTAAACCTTTTTCATCTGTGAACACTAACTCAAATTATAACATGTTGTTTTTTGAAATATTGTTGATTAATTAATTAGGTATTTACAATGTAGAATAAAGTAGTCTTCGGTATGGAGGCGATTTCTTTATAGAAGAAAATCATTTCACACGATGATGCCAACATCTGGATAAAGAAAAAGGAAAAAAAATCGTATAGCGAAATTATATTTTTATTTACCAAGTTACCAAATAAGATTACATATTTTTGGTTACTGTTCCACGAAGGGACAATAGATTTAAGAATTTTATGAATTATTAGGTACATAAGTAATGAAATGTTTTATTTTTCATCCGATAATCTTTTGTAGTAAGACATTTTTTTTAATTTATATTTATATTTATATTTATATATATATATATGTATATAAATTATAAGATGTGTAGTTTAGTATAATGAAAACGGTTTTGGTAGTGAGTGTAGCATACGCTAACGGCGGTGGGCGGGGCAAGTCACGAGCGTCGTCGGAACCATCGCGTCGCCGCCGAAGCGCGAAAATTATGCGCCCGCGCAACTTGCGCTGACCAAAACAGAACTATTGAGTGCTATTAGTACAATATTTTTATATTGCACCCAAATATGCTAGCTATTATCTGCGTCTTCGTTTGCATTATGAGATAAATGATAGTTTATGTCTAAATGGTAGCCGTTCTCGTGATATATACTACACTGACGTCAAATTGACTTGGATAGGTTCAAATATTTCGTCGTAAAAATATTAAACAGATAGTCTTCCTTTGGATTGAATATATGCCGAACCGTATTATATTCTAAAGTTCTTAGATCATGGGTACCATCATTAAAAGTATGGTTAAATTCTCTTAAATAAATTTGAAGTAGTAGCAATTTGTTAAAAAATAATATTATTCTCAAATATCACATGTTGTAAGTAACTAACTATAAGGTTCAAATATTAAGGCAAGTAATTAGAGACCTTTGTGAGCTGTATAACTTTATGGACTTTTCTGAACTTAGATCTGAAATAAAAAATACTTGAAAGTTGTATGACATATTTATCCAGATTTCTGTACAATATATAGAAATATGAAGAAATTAATTATGTGTCGGCGATAAAAATTTATGTTGTTATACCTATCATTAAATATTAAAATTGGAGTGTTAAATTATTTCCATACCGAATCACTGAGCATCATAAATCTGTACTCTCTTTTTGATTGTGAATTTGACAATTAATGTTGCAATCTATACGTATCTGAGTTATCAAACACGTGTTATTAATTCAGTAGTATTCGTATACAAAAATTTTACCCACTCTAAACACTTCGAAATATTCCGATATTAATAAGCTCGCATATTACACAATTGACGGTTGATTGGGACTGATAGAAATTATTAACATTCTGTGCCGATCCCAAATTATTATATAAAGGCAAGGTAATGACGATGAATTTACCATTTACGTATATTTGTATTGTTAGCACAAGCTCCTTATTTAATTTTCATATAATTATTACACCCACTCTAAAATATTTATTCTTATTTAAATAATATGGTATCATTCAAATAAGTCGACTCCACTACATTCCAGTATTATGCTCAAGCGGTAACATCCGACACTCTTGTATCTCAATTACCCGACATTATCACCATTGTATTAGCTCAATATATTCTCATGCGGTTTTAGTTAGAACATTGTTGGCCATGGGCCTATCAGTTCGGACTATCTGCAATATTCCAAATTCCAAACTACTCAATCTCAAATTTTTAGTTACCAGACATTTCAATAAAATTATAAATATTGAAATGTCTACCATCCGTTGCACTGATTTCAAATAATTTTCTTGTAACGTTTCATTTTAATTGAAACAAGGAATTTCTTCGTTGAGCATGGCGTTAATTGACTTCATCGTTGACTTCATCGAATGTAGTTTTCTTTTCTTTTTAAGGAGTCTCTAAAATAATTAGATGCATTTATTTACCTTATGATTTCTAAAAATCAGGTGTTTATTTCTTAAACTCCATTAGAGTAATTAGAGTCATAATATACTTCATTAGCAGTTTATTTTGCAGTTTGTAAACAAATTAGGCTATGCCTGCTTTTATATAGCTACTAATTCAGAGTATTTGGCTAGACAAATATCAGTATAAAAAACGAGAACCTTGCTACTATTTACAATTCAGAGAGCAGAGATATTTTTAAATAAAAAGAAACGTCCAGAGCCCATTGTCTTTTCAAGGAAAGGAGGTATATAATCGAGATGTATAGCTACCAAGGCATTGTTTATTTGCTGATTTGTGGCCAGCACGATGAATATTAAATGATATGCTAAAATGGTTGGGTTGACCCCGTATTTTATTCACTATTTTGTATTTGTATATGCATGAATATTAGATTCTATCTCGCTCATGCCTGTTTGTTTTGTTCTGTTTTAGCTGTCAGTTCCGTGTCGGCATGTTCCTTTTGTATAATGTCATGCGAAAAGTTACATAGGTATTAGCTAAGTTGTTGTTGGTATTATACTGACTTTAGAGAGCTAGATTCTTATTTTAGTTAAGAAGTAGGTAAAGTAAAATTTCATAATTGTTAAATTTTAAATATATGTAATGAATATGATGACTTTATTGAGGTTAATGTTGTCTGACTGTCTGTTTGTTCCGGCTAATCTCTGAAATGGCTGGACCGATTTTGTAGAGACTTTTTTTGACAGATTGCTGATATAATAAGGAGTAACATACGCTACTTTTATTTTAGAAAAATAAAGTTAAATTCCACACGGACGAATACATGAGAACTGCTAGTAATTAATATAATTATGCACCTCATGAATGACAAAGTTTGAAGCTTACCATGGGCTTCTGTATACAACATTATGTTCTACATACTGTATAAGCATAATTTAAACGTTATGGCTGCCACCTGCCATCAGTTGAGTCTTCAGATGCTTTATTATACCGTATAAGAAAGTAACATAAAAAGTAATAGTGATCAATCGCCGATTACTAGGATCTCTTAATCGCTGTTTTCAGTTAATTTCATTATTATGTATCACGATCATCTTAACCTAATACTAGAATAACTTACTAGTGTGTATTCTAGTGTATTATACATGGAGAACTTATCTGCCCATCCAGATTTAAGGCAATTAAAATATGCGCTTTTCGAGACACCCTCATCGAGAATGTGATTAGTAGATTTTAATTTATCAAATTCAATACTCTACATATATATGATATTATATATCAATAAGTAAAATATGAATGAATAAATAAAATATCGTCTTTCCAGGGAACTCCAAACAAGAACAACAAATATGCTCGCAATGGAATCGAACTGCAATGGCGTGGGGCAGGAATTGAATCTTGTTATTTGAGACAGAAAGTCCAATCCTGAGAGCAGGACTGAGGAAACAATGCTAAAGGAGAGGGAAAGTTCGGAGGGATCACCGGGCGTGCCAGACGAGTGCGCAGGCTGTGGGGGGAGGATACAAGATAGGTGAGGTTTGGGATACACCGAGGTCGTAAGCAAATATATATATAACTGGTACCCTAATTATACTAACTAGGTGACCTGATGAACTTCGTGTCAGCTACAGTAATTTTTCTATAACATTATTTTGAATTAATAAAAACCATTAATTTAGCCTTACATTACCATTACGCTTTAAATAAATTGAATACTATTCATAAATAAATAATAATGCCAGAAAGTGAAAAATGATATCTTAAAACTACTCAACCGATTTTATTACAATTTTCAGCAATAGATACGGTAAGAGGAAGGTTTGTATATATAACATAATATAGGTATATATTATAATAAACGTAACGGTAGATAATATAAAATTTTTGTTTAATCATATATTAAATAAATCAATAATTTTATCTCAAAATTCTGTCAACATTGCCTCTTAGAATAGCCATACTTACCCTCTGGGCAGAACTACCAGCTCTCGAGTCGCAAGTAACCATGATGAGCTGCTTTTTAAATATTGAATTCGTAACAGGTATTATCTCCTAGCTGTGGATCGGCAGTGGCACGGCCCTTGTCTCCGATGCTGCGAATGTCGACTGCCGCTTGATACAGAACTGACTTGCTTTTCCAGAGATGGGAACATCTATTGCAAGGAAGACTACTACAGGTGAGTCCGCCAACCTTTACGTCCGGAATCTTGCTATTAAACAATGTATTCATAAAAACTACATATACACACTTAAAACACGTTGAAGGCCATATTGATTTCCATTGATGATGATGAACATGATGATGATGACCATTTCTCACATAGGAACCGGCATTTTATTGTTAATTATGTATATTATTTTTTAAATACGTTTTTAGTGTACAATTTGAGGTAGATTTATTTCAGTTAAAGTGCCCACGGGTGATCTCCCAACGTGTAGATTTACTTTCGTTGCGGAGTGATCCACCAGTGGGCATACGGTCTTTAACGTGTTAATATTAATGTTTTATTTTTTTTTTTCAAACGAAGACAATATTTAGCAAGAGAAGGACAAAAACTCAATAGCTTTTTGTTTAATGAAAGTTAGATTTATAGCGTTTCATGAAATTGAAATACAATTAATTAAATACGTGTTTTCCAAATTATTGAAAAATACGAATAGATCATAAAAAATATTTTTAAAAATGCAGTGCGAAGTGTGTATAATATTTATTTTATTGCATTGCGAATTCAATATTTTCGTATTAATATAAATTGTTTTTTTAAATGAAATCACTTTTAGCATATCAATTATTATTATAAAAAAATAATTTAATTAGGTACATATTATTTACATAGTCAGGCGCGAAAAAAAAGTACATTTTTTTATACTTACCTAAATATGTGAAATATAAATTACTATCCTACTGGTTAGTTCGTGTAAAAATAACATAGATATTACCTTACTTGACATTTGTATACAAACATATAAACAGATGAACATTAATAACAAAAATTATATTTTGTCTATGACAATAGACTCATTGACTGATTGCGCAACTTCGTCTGAGTCACATCTCCCCCATTATTGCAACAATGTTAATTACAGCTCCGCTCCTATTACTCATAGCATAATGTTACGTAGCCTAAAGTCCTATAGAGCAAGAGCCCACGACGGCCAGACATACGTCATTTTAGTAAACGTGAAAGTTCTTGTATGTGTGTCCCCAACACAGGTAAGAACGATCCCCAAACATGAAACCTGGATCGTGGTTCCTTTGGCAGGTACCAGGTAACAAAGGTGTAAAAAATTTCATATCAAATTCGTTATTTTAAGAAACTCCATATTTTCATATATTGTTCGTAGCATTATTATAACTTGCGCAGCTCATTGCCAGACACTTAGTGTGGTTCCAACCCCCCGCCGGACCCCCCTAAACTATACTATTTTATGAATAAACTTACGTCATTTTAATAAAGTTGAAATTTATATATATTATTGAGAGTTCTCTCAAACTGAGTTTCCTAAATTGCCAGACAGTTTTCTTGGTTCCTTATCCTACCAGACTCATTGAAACCGTATATTGGGTAACAATGGTGTATACAATTTCATATATATATTATTGAGAGAACTATTAAACTAAGTTTAATAGTTCTCTCAATAATATATATAAATTTCAGCTTTATTAAAATGACGTAACTTTATTCATAAAATAGTATAGTTTAGGGGGGTCCGGCGAGGGGTTGGAACCACACTAAGTGTCTGGCAATGAGCAGCGCAAGTTATAATAATGCTACGAACAATATATGAAAATATGGAGTTTCTTAAAATAACGAATTTGATATGAAATTTTTTACACCTTTGTTACCTGGTACCTGCCAAAGGAACCACGATCCAGGTTTCATGTTTGGGGATTGTTCTTACCTGTGTTGGGGACACACATGCAAGAACTTTCACGTTTACTAAAATGACGTATGTCTGGCAGTCGTGGGCTCTTGGGCTACTAGATAAATGGACTATCCGACACTATAAGAATTTTCAATATTCATACAGTATGTCTTATGACATTATCCCTTATGACGATGCAAACTCATAAACTATGCTTCTTTATAATATTAGTATAGATAGTTTATCATTTACATAATAGAGCATCAACATTGTAATAATTTTGTATAACCACAGTATATGAAGGTAAACACCATAGTCGACAGTGTTCGTGAACAATTACGGTGGTTGTCGTTAACACACGTGGATTCCCACAACATGTCAGATTCCAGTGCTACTCGACACTGTCACCCCTGTACTTAATATGCGGCTAGAAATAGAACGTAAATCACCCGGTATCTGCAATAATGTACTTTAAAATAAAATACTAAATTTTAAATTAAAATAAAAATTTAGTTCTGAGGAAAATAAACTGCGGTATCACTTCACCGATTTTTAAAATATTTCAGTGTTTGAATTGCATATTATCGCAGAGTTACATAGATAGAATTAAACACGAAGTATGAACTATCAACATCCAAGCGAAACCAGGACGGGCCACTAATTGAACGTCTAGAAATGAAGGAAATATGTATTTTTCATTTTTCGTTATCATACTATTAGTATCTTGTAGTTGGACTACCATTCTCTACGTAGAGTTTTAAAAATATGTACTTAATAGTGTTTGTATCAATTTAAACAGCTTATAGGTAAAATTAGAGTCAACTTGTTGTTTATAAAAACATACATAGTCTTCATTCAAAATTGTTAACGATAATTATCTCGAGTGTCAACTGACAGGAATCCATGGCCCCCGTGTTCACCCTTGCTTGTTTGCATCGGGAACATATGGTGTAATATGTTCACCTTTAGTGAATACTCGTGTCAAGATGACGTTGATTATTCCTGTATTGATTATAATGATGTCAGGTTTACGATATTTGAAAACTCTCGATATTATTGATAATTAAAATAATAATATCAGGACAATTCACACAGCGGTATCTGGACCCAAGTTAAACAGAGTATGTTTATAGGTACTGATACAAATGCGTAACTATCGCGAAACTGTTAGAACATTGAGTCCCTCAAAAGGAATTAATTGTAAATTTTGTAATTAAATATCCTAAAAAAAAATGTAGTTAAAGTTCAATAAAATAAAAACAAAAATGCCATTTTACATCACGTTATTCTATTTCAAAGTAAAATTTCAAGAATAAAATGTATCAAGCGAGGTGCAATCGATTGTCGATAGTTTTTTCTTGTAAACAATAAAATATCTGTGCTTTTTATTAAATTATTTGTACTGAGCTGTAGCTTTCATATAAAATAATTAATCACGTTAAAAGTAATTAGAGTCAGTACTCAAGAGGGCGTGCGTAATCTGATACGAAAATACCGAAAGAAAATTTCAATACGCCAAAAATACAATTTATTAAAATAATAAATGCCGATCTACAAATGCACAAAGATAAAAGTTAGTTTTGGTAATAAATTGTATTTTTGGCGTATTGAAATTTTTCTTACTATCATATATTGTCACGTTCGGGAGTAATTAATTTTTCGCATCTTTTAGAGGCTAATCATACTCTTACAAATTATTTATTCATAAGCAATATTTAGCAACTTTTTCTGTGAAATTTTCATAGTAATTTTACAAGTTTTAATTTTTTACGTATTGAAATTTTTACATTATCAAATGTAGCCGCATTTTACCCAACTTTTGGAGGTTATTCTCTACGTTAATCAATAATTAGTAAAAGGAAATTGTAATAAAGAATATGGAGAATGTAAAAATAAAAACAATAAACATATATTCACAGCCTCCAGTTATAAAGATGTAGGAAGCTTATGAATAGCCTATCATGGCAGACTTTCTATTGTTCCAGATTGTTCTGTGTCAAACGCTGCGCACGATGCGGTAACGGCATCACTGCTAATGAGCTGGTGATGAGAGCTCGCGACATGGTTTACCATCTGACCTGCTTTACGTGCGTAGCCTGCCATACCCTACTATCCAAGGGTGATGTCTTCGGAATGAGGGACGGTCTCGTCTACTGCCGACCGCATTATGATACAGCATGCATGGATGATTACTGTGATGAAGATGTCAATAATGTTTACAGGTTAGTTGAAGTAAATAATAGTTTAGATTCGGTAACCCACTTGTAACACCCCTGGTGTTTTAGACCTCCTTAAACTACGGTAATTGTTTACAATCAGATGGGCCGTAGGCACGATTGTCACCATCCTGGTATATAAAAAATATATATTGCTACTAAATTACACTCCGAGTAGATTTTTTATTTTTATGAGCTTTATATTTCTTATTTGACATTAATCCAATATTTCATCCCTGGGAAACCTGTCATTTCCCAGGGTTCAATCTAGCATTTTAGCAGATCTTACCGAAAAAGATTCTGTGGGATTAATCTTAAAAAGTAACAAACAAGCATGATGAATGAAGTAGGTTAATTGAAATTATTAGAATGCTAAAATCGGTAAAGTTGATTGGAAATTCTTGTACACTTTAATAATAGACTTGTATACAACTACAAAACAATGCACCAAGTCTATTTTAATAAGAGACTTGTATGTACAAGTCTGTTATTAGATATTTGAATTTTAACGTACATTAATTGCTCTAAACTCAGGTTTGTGAATGTGTCATTTGGTATGGCTACATTTCGCTATATATATTTCAACAATGTTTCACCGGGTGTTTTATGACAACTTGGTTTAATTTTTAGAGATATTTCCACACGAACACAGAATTGTTCATTGTAAAATTTTCACTATATTTGACATAAAAATATTGAAAATCCATGACCTTTTGACCCTCACTTAGGGTTCATATACCGTAATGAAAGGGGTTGTAATTAGATGCAACCCCTTCCATTCCACTTGATGTACTGGCTACAGGACACTCTGTGCATTCTTACTTTAAATACTGCTTAAAGCTTAGTAGTAATATGATATTTTAGCATATATGTACATATAATGTCTTCGATTATTATTATATTTTGTTTACATAACAGATAACAAAACCTCTTAAGACATAAAGAAGATCAATAACACAATTCTCAGAAACAACAATGTACCACTGATGTCACAATGCAAGGTGTTCGTTTAGATCTTCGGAGGATAATTATTATTTTCCATCGTAACCTAACAACTCATATCCAATTTAAGTAATTTAATAAAAAATATACTGAATCCTTTCGTTTATATACAGATATTCTAACAGTAAATTTTATACCGCGGTAGTAGCAATTTGATGGTAAACGGTAACCGTAACCTATGGATGTGCCTATGAAACAACAGGAGTGTAAGGTGCGCATTGCCAATGCTAAAGAAATCTTATTCAGAAAACCTAGAAACGGAAATATACCTTTATTAAAAAATGCCATGGTCTAGTCTCTGGAGAATATATCGGTAGTTAATTTCATGAACTGAATGTGTATGGCAAAAAACTTACTTCAATATTTAAACTAAACACCGAAAATAGGCGATATATGTATATTTAATCTCAAAAAAAGCAGATACAGCACGATACATTAGTGGAAATGTTGTTGGTAATTAAACTTTATCAATTAAAAACAATGCAATACCTTTTATTAAATTCCACGTCATTCTGTATTTTCATCAAGTGTATAACATGACTATTTTTAATATTAAATTCAATAATTTCAATCTTTATTCACGTAACGTGAACACAGTTTTGTTCATAGGTTTTTAATTTCTCAAATTATTGTTTCGAAATAAAATTGAATGATGAAAACTGAAACTTTTCGTTTATAAGGATCAATTATTAGGGGTCGTATTGTACAAAATATGTTGCTTTGGATCCGCTTATTCGATTCTCCTATCGGAAAGTTATTCAATCTCATAAATAAGGACCAATCAAAAGTAGACTGCACAAAGGCTGCGATGGTTTTTTAAATTGAAAATTTTCAGTAACTAAAATGTAGACAATAGTCTACCGATGGGTTGAATCCGTACTAATTGGCACATCGAAAGGCAAGTTGCTACTTGTTTGGGAGTCAAATAAGCTGACAGTACTTACACCTGATATGAATTGGATTTCGTCGTCCATAAATACATGCAACATGAGGGAGGATACCTAGGTAGCGGCTAATTGATTTAAGTTATTAAAGATCTACGTATCTTATAATATATTAAATTGATGACTATGGAATTATCTACCTGCTCAGATTTAACCTAAATGGGGTTTTTGAACGAGGGTATAAGGTTTCTTAAATGTTGGCAACTCGTAATTGACAACCTTGGTGTTTCAGCTGTGGTAAACGTTTACCATCAGATAGGACGTATGCTTGTTTGACATCATGGGGGTTTAAAAAAAAGTCGTTTGTAAACTCTTAGGATCAATTGATCAAATGTACATCATATAATAAGTAGCATCGTTTGTGCACAGATGGTAGAGAGTAATACAATTGTATTTATATTGTGAATTTATCTTTAAACTACGTCCTTTACGGATTAGGTAGAAAGAAGCTTATCATCGTCCGGGAATCTCGTATTGTCTGTCGTATATTCTAATAGTTTGTTCGTAATATGTCAGTCTAGACTCAATTTATACATTTTTAGTAAATATATATTCTTCGTCTATCCTTTGATATTAGTGTCACATGAGCAAATAAAGAAAATATTTTATGTTTTATTTCTACATTTACAACGATATACTCTTTATATATTGTCATTAGTATTTATTTTTTTAAATTGAATTATTTATCAGCTATTAGTATCAGCTAAATGTATACGTTGGCAGGACAGCAGTGGAAGTTGATATAAAGAATATAAAGTTAGATCAGTACGAATTCTCCCGATTGTTCATTACTAAGTCACTAAATCCTATTACTAACAGTGCCTCCTCTCCTGCCGATTGGCCAACCATCATCTGAAGATCCTTAATCTCCTGATATTTTTATGGCGCTAATTGCGATTTTGCATCATCTCAGGTATTAAGGTCAATATCAAATCTTGTTGAATTGTTCTGTCCTGGGGAGTCGGTGAACGTTCTCTATCTTCTTAACAATTGCCATGAAGATATTGAATATTATAATTACTTACTATTATTATATTGTTTCTTTCTTACCAGGTGTCAAGATATGCCTAGTGAGGGTGATTCTCCTTCTCAGTTCTACTCCGGTGGCCCCAGCTCTAAAGGTCGACCGAGGAAGAGGAAACTAGCCCAAGGATCCCCTGAGGATATGCAGGTCCAGACAATGAGGATTGCAAGCACCGCCTTAGGTAAGTTCGTCCCCTCACTCTTAATAATACTCTGCTATTGCGAAATACTGCGAATTTAATATCTTCAATGTAATTAAAAATTGTCTTTTAATTAAAGGTACTTTTAAAAATATCCTATTCAATAATATTATTTCCTTTAAGTCGGTCCCTTTGAGAATTTTCAAGACGTAGGTACTACCTAATGCCGAGCGTTATTTACAAGACGTTTCTTTAAGAATATTTATGAAATAATTTCAAAAGTCGTTTTTTTAAAGTACGTACTCAGATGTTTCTCACGATATGGTATGGCTCATATTTAATATAGGGTAGAAACGAGTAAAAATACGTTAAGGTTTTCGAATTATTTTTTATTTATATGATAAATTTCAAAGTGTTATACGATTCTAAATAAACTAATATTAAGCCTCATACCTAGGCAACTGCAAAGGAGTATTTACATGTGTATTTACATAAATTTTCCAATTATATCTAGTTGCTTCTAACTGTCATGACATGCATTGAAATATCAATATGGATGAACAAGTTCGTCCGAGTACTTACATAATACTTAATGGGTGGTTATATGGATGAACTATTGTATGAATAAATTGAATTGAAGTGACAATATTCAATTTTATTATGTTATTCAGTTTTTTAGAAACTTAAAGGCAAAAATAAAATAATTAGGAATTTAGAAGTATATGCACACAGATAACGTAAATACGTTAAAATGTGCGACGAGTTGCGTACATAGTACCCCGAGTGCGTTTAGTCTAAGGACCAAATATAATAGCTGTTAGGAATTTAAATGGCGCAAGTTGCTGGCTCAAGACACTTGGTCCCCGCGTGTAACTTCGTTACTATACATATTTCATCGAAGCACGGCCGGTTAAAATTTAGCAGAAACCTCAGAGGGAAAGCACTGGTGCCTTCCCCGATGTCAATTCATCCCGGCTCGTAATCACAACTAATGAATAGACGACAGGTTGTCAAAAATGCCTACGTCTCCCTTTTGCGCAAAGTAATGTCTTAAGCAAGAGTGAGAGGCCTATGCGTGGGAGCGTTGGACCCTCAGCAGGGGTCGCTCGGATTATTCTTTACAGCGTCGAAACGCGAGGCAGTCATTGAGGTAAATTCAGCATTTGCTACTACGTACGATTAATCATGACAGTGTGAATGGACCATGAGTCCACAGGCGATACGTTACTATATCTAAGACTATGTTTAAATTATTTCGGATGAGTTTAACCATTAGTCAAATCGTGTTTGCGTTGTGTATAATTTCTCCGTTGAACTCCGTTGCCTACTTATTGAGTTGTGTAATGGTTTAATTTTACTGTATAGGATAACTATAACTGTTTGTGATTTGTATTGTGTAGTGTATTGCATGTGAACTCTCTCGAACTCTCGGCGACTCTTTTTTGATAATAGATATCTTGTTTATGATTAAAAAATATTTATATTATTATTAGCACACTAACAGAGCCACTGATACGCGACAGTGATTCAATACCCAAAAAATATGATATTCATCTGGTAACCAGTTCTTTATGTCTGGTGTACTTAATTATATTTGCACATATTACAATAGATAGTAGTAGTATACAGCCAATTGCTTTATATTTTTAAACAAACAAAAAAGTCAAGACTAAACATTACGCATCTAATAAATATTTTGTACTTATAATGGCTATAGAATAGCATCTAGTTTTCAAAATTTGTCATAAGGATCATTTGTATAACAAAATATTTTTATGCAAACGTGTGCAAAAAAAAGTTTCCTTAAATCAAGTGTCGCCTGTATATTTATATATATATATATTATCCATTATCAGAATAAAATTGAAGAAAAATAATATAACAAGGACATAATATAACAAACACATAAAATTAATTATTTAATTTTATTAAATTAAATTTGCTTTTTAATCTCTATTAGCAAAATATTTAGATAAAAAAAGTGCCCACACTTCTAGAAAAATTACTTATTTTTAGTGTGTGTAGAGCTGTAGTGTAAACTGATCTAAATTAGATTTGTTACAAAATCTAGTAAGACATATCATATAATCTTATAAGATAATCCCCAAGATCCAATGAAATAAGATAGATTATATAATAATTTTAGATGATCATCTGTTTGATTTGTTATGACGTATTATATTTCAATTTATTATCTTAATCGTTTACGAATCTTGCGTAGTTTGAAGTGACACCGTACTGGAATTCCGTATATTCAGCTATATTAAGCCACAGCAATTGAAATCTGAAGCAGTCTATTATAGCAAAGAAATTTATATTTGCATCTAGCGTACGTTCCTGATTGCATAGGTACGTTAAGAGTAAGTGTTGATTTCTAGTAAGTAGTAGTAGGGCCGAAGATGCTCAAAAGGTAGCAGAAGAAAATAGCAGATCATAATGGTAGAAAGCATAAGAAATTTATTATCATAGAATGTATAAATAAATGTAGGCTGAGCTGATGATAGTCACAACCTACATCGTCGTGAATATCGCCTCAGTTCGTGTTATATAAAAAAGTGGCATTGTGTATCTTTTTTTTTCGGACTACTCTAATGCTGTTGGCCGCAGCTGGCCTTTACAGCTTCCCCGGACGTTAGGGGGCGAGTGCAGATGGCACTTCAAACTCGCGGTAGGACTTATGGAGCGGCTGAAGGCCAACTCCTGCCTGACGGATACGAGTTTAGTCTGAGGGCACCACTAGGCGTTCGAACCTCGGCTCAGGCCATCGTAATATCGATCCCCGTTTGCATTGGACCCCGTTTCGATCAGAGGGGCAAAAATTTGTGTATCAGTGAGAATTTGTTGTATAAAATTAGGGCATTTATAAATTGATTCTAAAACATATAACTATTAAAGCATACACGTACATCAATTAAACATTTTATTAACAATCTCCGCACAATTTTATTAACTCTATCCGTGTCAATGATTTCGCATGCCGAGATCGTTATCCCGCCAAATCCGCCATGTTGGCACAACAGCGCCACTTAAGCCGCGCGTGACGGCGGTAAAAAGAACTAAGGGTGCTCGACAAATACGTGCTATATCTGAAAATCGGTTTATCGATTCCTATTAATTTTTTGTGAGCTTGCACAGGCGTGATTTGTTGTTATAATAATATTGCTAGTTATAAAAATAACTTTATATAAGTATACTATATCTATTATTAATTATAAATCACAAACATTTTTTTTATATATAGGTAATAAATAAAATAGTAAATTCGTGTAGAGCTAAAATCTGTCTGTTTGAGTGTGGAGATTTTACTTTAAAAGGGTTGGAGGAATAAGGAAGAAATCTCCCGAATATGTTGTTAAACCTGGATCAATATATTTAACTATAAGGCTAGTTGCCTACCTATTATATATTATCAATTAATTATTCACATCTATACATTATCATATACATTACATACATACATATAATTAAAATTGGAGTGTCAGTTTGTAATATTGTAATAACCATTTTTTTACTACATGCATTTGAATATAAATGCTACATACACCAAAATATAATTTTCTACAATTTTTGTCTGTCTGTCGGTCTGTTTGTACCGGCTAATCTCTGAAATGGCTGGACTGATTTTGACGGGTTTTTTTGGCAGGTGGCTTATGTAACAAGGAGTAACTTAGGCTACTTTTAATTTAAAAAAAATATATAAAATTCCACGCGGACGAAGTCGCGGGAACAGGTAGTCAAAAATAAAATGTTAGGTATACATTGAATAAATCCTTCATTAATTTTTGTTATTTGCTTATCGTCGATAGATATTATCTAGAAAATACACTAAACGAAGTCGGTCACAACTAATTGACAAACAAAACTTTGCTGACTAAACCCATTTCGAGCAATTGTCGTAAAGGTGGACAAACTTTTTTCTTCACTTATTAATATAGATAATAATGATATTGCTGAATATTTTTCTATCTATTCAATATCAATGCTTAGATACCCATTACTAGTTAAGTTAAGTTATTTAGAATAGAATTACAACTAAGACTTAATAATTCCTATTACTTAGTGAAGAATAATTAATATTATATTATATTTGAAAGTGGCAGATGTAAAATACTTCATGCGGAACAAAACCAAATGCAATATTAAATTCCTTTTAATTAAACCCAATATTTAAAAAGCCGACACCTCGCGTGAAGTCTGAAATGGCATTCCCCCATTTATATCTGTGATCTTACTATCCGGGACCACAATAATTTCTAAATTCGATAAGTTACATTTAAATAAAAGTATTCAATAATAAATCGTATTATACAACTTATAGAGTTTATATGCTTTCAACAACTTTCAGCGGCTAGATCGCGTAGAAAATTTACTTAGATATCTACTTAAAAACTATGTAGACTTCCTTTGGGAAAGCGAGGAGACAGAAAGTTATACATTTTACTTACAAGAACAACTTTGTGTTTATTATAGATTTTATTATACAAAACTTATTCTCCCTAACTCGGAATACGTTTGGTATATTTTTCTTTTATGAACTACTTAAATATCAAATCGTACTTATTTTAGTCGGTTTGTAAAATATAAGATCGATTAACTATAAAACCCAATTACACAATCAGATAGATTTGGTTGTAACGTACTATTTTTTTATTATTATTTTGTTTTACAAACTATAACTCGGAATATAGATAAAAAATATAAACAGAGCAATTACATTTATAGCAAGCGTTTCGGGATCAAAGTCAAAGAAAGTCAAAAGTCAAATGAAAAGAAACCGCATTTACACTAATAAAACCAGGAACAATTTATTAATAACAGCAGCTTTTTATGATACTAATTTCTGACCACAAAAATCAACAAAAAATAACATAGCCGCGTGTTATAATCATTACTTACACATTCATCATGATAAAACACACCCAAATTGCTAATTAAAAAAAACGTTCACGTTTAGAAAAACATACCGATAAAGACCACCTGAAGATTAATAGAAACAAAACACTAATAATAAACAATAGCAACACCACAAACAAAAAATCGTT